GCACAATGAATGAGCCGAGACGCAGAGTGTAGCCGCATCCTCCCGGTATACCGGCTGACCTCAAAAGCAACTGAACGCGTCCATAAATCCTGCTTGGTCCCTGAGCCAGGTTCAACGGCCAGCCTATCATGGTTTGGTTCTGGCTCGGAACAGCAAATAGTCACCCTGTACCGTGAGAGGCCCCCGCACCCAATGGCTAAGCTCGGATGTGCCAGTGGAAATTCCAATACTTTGTGACTTTTGGAAGATGAAAAGAATGATGCCACTTGGTCCGCATTTGACACTAAGCGACGCGCTAATGATCCTCTTTGGAAATAATTGTTGAGCTCCTGCTAATGGCATGTTCCCCCATTTTCCGTGGGCTAAATTACCAATCCCGAGTCATCTGTGTAAAGCCGTTTAAGATGCCTCGGTGGAAGTGCACCATCATCAAAAGATTAAATGGTCTCTTTAAAATGCTACGTTTTGTTGCGTACACATATCCAAGTGGCTCTGGTCAAAAAAAAAAATGTGTGGACGTTAAACATAATTGACGGTTCAATAATTCAGAGGCTTGTAATATAGCCGATTAATGTTTAATGGGCCAGAGCTGCTCTCACATTCTTATTATTACTTTGCATTGCGGCCAAGCGGTCATCCGGGGTCACGTGAGCAGTGGCGAGAGCTCCATGAGAAACACCACCCGGTAGCTCTGCAGTGTATCCAGCTTCTGGGAGTCTTCTGCAAACGGAAATATGTTTGTCGCGTTTTCATTTGTGACACTCAAAGGAAGTGTTATCTCATCATGATGGCTATCAGTTATACGGTGGGGGGTGGGCGGGGGGAGAGAGCACAGTGGTTAGTGTATTCTGAAGCTAGCAACCTGAGTTTAATTCCCGGCCACGGCTAAAATAGCGCAGGCGATTGATGTGTGAAGCCGTCCTGACCCCTTCCCCCCTCCCTCCCACGGTTTCGTCATCACGCACCCTACCGGTGTGGTGAAGTACGGTCAAACAGCAGCCCCCCCATGACTGACACGGCATGGGCATGCCTTCATCCAGCACTGGATTGGTAACGGACTGCAAATTCTAATTTAATTACACGGGGCTAATGTAACTGAAAACACACGTGCTTTACTTATGCTTCAAATACATTCCATTTTAGCGTAATAGTTTTTTTGTACGTACACGTACTGTATTAAAGTAACTGCGAAGCATTTATTATTGGCCACTTAATAGATGACATAACTACAAGTCGGGTCTTTAATGCATGCCCTGTTTTCTGTATACAGTGTATTGTTTACATTGCTACGCGTACATTTTGCGAAGGGAAAAAAAACTTCTATGTTTCTGGGAACGGGTTTGGCCGTCCCCAGCGTATCTCTTAAGTTCTTTTCCAGTGGACGTTTTGTAATTTGAAAATGTTTTATTTATTTATTTAGGCCTCGTTTTTTGACAGCGCGGATGACGAAATCAATTTTCCATAGGGGGTGAAACGCCTTTTCATAGTCTACAAAGGCTTGACATGACAGCGTAAACATAACGAGAGAGAAAACGAGAGAGAAAATAAGAATAGGTTTTAGCCTATCTGGCAATAAAACAGGTGTTAAGATGTTCAAACACCAAATACATACCTTTTGCAAGGCATCAAGTCTGTATTAACCACACGTACTTGTTGCAAAAAATATGCAAACAGACATGCTCTGATTTTGAAATTGATTTTCCTACACCAGAGACAGCAGACTTCTTTGTGGCCTTGTCTCACCAGTGTTAGACCAGAGAACGCTAAAAGGTGAACAGTACACAGACAATGCAAGTAACACACCACTTATAGCTCGGGTCGTTCAGTTCTATATATGGGACCTTTTGCCATATATATGGGACCAGTTATTATATATACGGGACTTTGTTGCTAGAAATGGTAAAACCTATTCTTATTTTTTCATAATTGTTTAAACTGGCAAAATGGCCAAGATGATATAAAAATAGAAAATATACAACCATTCGCTGAGCACACAGTCATTATAACGACCAATTGTAATTTTAACTTCAGGAAATTATTGAAAAACCTATGAAACAAGGCAGGAAGGCGTTTCTGTTGTGGATCGCTGTCCAGCACACCGGTGGTGCTGAGGCAGGAACGAATTGGCACTTTGTTCATCACGTGACAACATTACGAATAGGCTGCGTCGGGTGGCGGAGGGTGTATGATACAAACGCGTTACTGAAGCGACCTAACCCAAAAAAATGTCATGAATTATAACATTGGTCACAAAAAGCCGATGTTTTGAAGGAAATCATGCACTGGAGGGACATATAGGTATATCTCTAAAGAGCAGCCATTGAACGTTAAACGGGATCTCGATTCATTTAATGAGCTGAGCAAGAGCGGTCTGGAGTGCTTTTTAGTCCTAAACTCATTTAAAAAGAGAAATTACATTGGATTGTTAAAAGCAATGAGCACGTACAACAGGCACGGTCTTGTGTCAGACCACCGACCTGACAGTAAAAAACTGCGCCCACATTACTTTAGACAGCAGCGTTCAATGAGTCCACAGTCTCTCCCCCGCTTTCTGTCTATAAATCACCGGTTTTTTTCGCACGCGTCATTTGCTCTAATTTTCCTTCCAGGCCCGCTCGCACTTCTGTGTCCGTTGAGTTTATTATCATCGTCATCATCATCATTTCCAAGGAGCGTTGGAATCTGATCTAAATCACAATTGGAGTTTGTTCCTCCCCTCGGTGGGGTTAGCGTTTCTGTATCGACCCAGAGGGTGAACGGACCTTCCCCCATGTGGTGTTCCCTCTGTGTGTATCGGGGAATCTCCTTCTTCTTCCCCAACCTCTGTCTCCACTCTGGAAGCAATGTGTGTATGTTGAACCTCTTGTATGTATGTACTGTATATCGTATGTATGTTGAACTTTTTTCGCACCGTGCCTAGCCAACCGTGATAATCTGAGTTGCGGGCAATGCCACTTATACCGATTATTTACCGCAGTGATTGTCGCTGAGTCTTGACACTCGTTTTGAAGGAGGGAAGCTAAGTGGGTTGAGCCTGGAAAGTGCTTAGGATGGACGGACTACCATGCGTTTAGCAAGCATTGTGGACAGTAGGGGGCAGTGTCGTCCGATGCATTCCGGAGTCATGCATTTCCTTTGCAAATACATTTGAACATTATTATACGCTACAGTATATATATCATAGACGTCCTCTTACGTTTATATAGCGACAATAATGACCCATTGATCGCAAGCTCGATAAGCTCTCAAATAAATCCTTGTGTCAAGCAAAAAGGGCTCGCAATTCCATGCCCAGACATTGCATTTACACATACGTTTAGAACATCATGTGTTTGTGATTCCCCGTGCAGCCGAAGAACGTCGTCGGTGAAATGTTTTATGCACACACACACGCTTTTGGCTGGCCATTGAACAAAGATGGTCACTGCTTTGCACGCTTTCAGATGCCCTTCTGCGGCCATCTAGAATGCCCTTCCTTCCGATATTAGGAAGCCACTGGAGCTATCCACTTTTAAAAGTAGATTGAAAATTCATTTATTTAGAACTTCTTTTCGTGTTTAGTTTGGTGTCCTTCCTCCACACCTCCGATTAACACGGGTTGGATATCTACGGTACGAAAGAAAGTTCAAAATATAAACATGTTATTTGTATATATGCGAGTGACTGGCTGGCATATTTGTAGTTTCAAGACTGTGGGCTGCCCAAAAAGTAAAGTGTCTTACAACTTGTTATTATGATAATCCCTCCGGCCAATGCTTTACAATCTGTCTCACCCAGGTGACATTTTCATGACCTGCTCAGGCATTAGTGTCATCGCAAAGGACGACCTTGTCCTCAGAAGCCACTTTAGCGATAACCGGGGGAAAATAGATTATGACTGGCTTCCGTTTCACCAACTGCGCTCACGCCACTGATATTCACGCTTCCCGGCTTCAAAGAGGGAACAAGGACGTAGGCGTGCGTAAAGAGCACACACAGCCTGAAGAAGTGCATTGTGGTCTTCTCGTCTTTGGCCACCATCGCAATAAATGTGAGCAAATGTGACCGATTAATAGTAGCAGCGATGCAGCGATGGACAACTGTGAAAGACTGGTTTTGTCATAATTATGACTCATCAGAACACTATCATCAGCAATGCTAATTTCGAATGCTAATCACATCCATAAATGTCGAAATAATCCCATAATCGTAACCGAATCGGGGTGCAGGCTGGAAAATCTTAAGTTTCAGGCAACAAACATTTCTTTGTTGTGTGAAACTTGTGGTTTTTCAGCCTGCACTATTATTCTGGCATTAATAATAAGACCCCCCTGCAGCCACTACAGGCCGCTAAATTAGGCCAGTTCTCGAATTGGACCGCAACCGAAATATGACTATTTATTGAATCATTGGCGGGGAGGTGGGAAGTGAATGGTTATAACCCACAGAGGCTGTGAGGAGTGATGGGATGTCAGTAGTAATGGGCCATGGGACACACATAACAACAATTCATATTATTTCTGATGTATCTGAGAAGGATGGATGGAAATAATAAGTCGTTTTCATCAAACATGTTGATGTATAAAAGAAACATGGTTGCCTTAAAATGTTCACAGCTGACAGAAAATTTGCAATTCAATAATCTGAAAGAGATCATTGATACATTGTTTTGCGTAGTTCCAGTCTCAAATTAAACCGTGTTAACGTTTTGAATTCCATCCTTGTTTATTTAGTATACTTGAAAGCCTCTTTACAGCAACGTCTCTCTTCCGTTATCTCTCTGTCTCTGTACATCAGTGTGTCTGTATTTCAATGCATATTTGATGATATTTCTCTGCCTCTCTTGTTTCCCTGCCACCCTGCATCTCCTACCCATTTTCTTGCATCCTCACCACCCTGCCCCCCCACACTCACTCTCAATCACCTTTCGCCCTCCCGCCACTTAAACCCTTCCTATCACTCTCCTCCTCCATCTCATCCCCATCCTCCTCTGAACGTCCTTCCGTCTACTCCCTTCCCAGGGGATGGCCATTGTGTCCATCCTGTTTATCGTGCTCTCCACCATTGCGCTGTCTCTCAACACGCTGCCCGATCTGCAGCACAAGGATGAGTTCTCGCACATCATCGACAACCCGAAGCTGGCCCAGGTGGAGGCCGTGTGCATCGCCTGGTTCACCATGGAGTACCTGCTGCGCTTCATGTCGGCGCCCAACAAGTGGAAGTTCTTCAAAGGCGCCCTCAACGTCATCGACCTCATGGCCATCTTGCCATACTACATCACCATTTTCCTCACAGAATCGAGCCGCGGCGTCTCGCAGTTCCAGAACGTGCGGCGCGTCGTGCAGATCTTCCGCATCATGCGCATCTTGAGGATCCTCAAGCTGGCTCGCCACTCCACGGGCCTGCAGTCGCTGGGCTTCACGCTCAGGAGGAGCTATAACGAGCTGGGCCTCCTCATCCTCTTCCTCGCCATGGGGATCATGATCTTCTCCAGCCTCGTCTTCTTCGCTGAGAAGGACGAGCCGGATACCAAGTTCCATAGCATCCCGGCGTCCTTCTGGTGGGCGACCATCACCATGACCACTGTAGGCTATGGCGACATCTACCCAATGACATTACTGGGCAAAATCATTGGCGGGCTGTGCTGCATTGCGGGCGTGCTCGTTATCGCGCTGCCCATCCCTATTATTGTCAACAACTTCAGCGAGTTCTACAAGGAGCAGAAGCGGCAGGAGAAGGCGGTGAAGCGGCGGGAGGCACTTGAGAGGGCCAAGCGCAATGGCAGCATCGTCTCGATGAACACCAAGGAGGCCTTTGTGAGAAACGCCGAGCTGGAGACGGTGGTCATCGTGGAGAAGGACACCAAGAACCTCGGCTGCAAGGAGAGAGTGAGCGTCGACGAGCTGAACCACTTCTCTCCGAGCCGGTGGAAGACCTCCAAGGGTTTGGCTTCGGACGTCGTGTCGTCCAAAGCAGAGGCCTCCAGATCTCCGCACCACCTGGACGTGCAGAAGCTGGTGAGCTTGTACAAGGAGATGTCGTCCAAAGATTCACCTGACCACGAAGCGCAGACGCTGGAGGATAAACCGCAAGAGATGCAACCATTGGTCGGGCGCTCAAGAAATAAGCCACTCCTGCTGGATCCAGGGAGATTGGAAGCATTTAATGCCTCTCCACCTACAACCGGTGAGGTCAATGAAGGCTTTGGGCCAGACAGAGTAGATGTGCCAAATATTGCGGCGAACTTCGATGGAGTGAGAGTTAGGCGCGATGAAGGGAACAGCGACGGGCATGGTCTCTCTGGTGGCGACAATGAAGAAGCGAAAAGTAAAGAAGCGAACGGAGACAAGTGGGGCAGTGCGGAGAAGTTCTCTGCAGACAGACTCGTGGTTGACGCAGATGTGGCCAAGCCACAAGCGACCGAGTTTACAAAGAGAGAGGGGCGGAGGGGGGCCGCACTAAGGCCTGCAAGTTACCCGCAGGGTCAGGTGGCGCAAGAGGTCTTCTCGTGCGATGGCAGGCCCCAGCGGAGCAGCTGGGCAGAGTGTCAGGATTTTGGAAAGGTGAACTTTGCCGAACACGGCTTACCGTCGGTGAAATTGAGCAGGCAAGATTCAGACGGTGTCTCGGGCTTGAGGGCAGCAGAGAGGGTGACCGATGGTGCCGGCTTCTCTGGGAAGCCCACAGACGCAAGCCCTTCAGGTGAAATAAAAAGTTCCTGTGTGGAATTTCAAGATGGCGACTTTCAACAAAATGGTTGCCAAGATTTGCAAGAGGCAACCGACATAAGCGCTACTTCCAGATTTGCGTAGGCTTCTTGTTTAGTTATATTATTGGTTCTTTCGGTAAAGTCACGTAGAAGGGAAATAATAAAAATATAAAACAATAAAATTATCACGATGTTTCGACTGCAACACAAGCAATCATCATCAGGTGTGAAACCCACAGCAAGAAAATTTGAAAAAAGTGGCGTTTTTTAACGTTAGCACCATGCAGAGCGATTTGGCAGTTATTCAGATGGACGAGGCCATCTATGTTCAGAAAAGAGGAGGGGGGAGACGAAAATAATGGATACGGTCTGAAAGGCACCGTAAGCGTGAACAATCAATTAAGACTCGAAATGGTTTAAAAATCCTTCCAATTATTGCTAAGCCAGAATCCATCTTCTTGGTTGAAATTGTCTCTGTGTTTGTATATGTGGATAGCCTCATGAACGAATCTCTCATAGTAGCCAGATGGCTTGCATCTGAATAACTGCCAAATTGCTCTCCGTGGTGCTAACGTTAAAAAACAGCCACTTTTTTCAAATTTTCTTGCTGTGGTTTTCACACCTGATGATGATTGCTTGTGTTGCAGTCGAAACGTGAGAATTTTATTGTTTTATATTCGTATTATTTTATTGTTTCCCTTCTACGTGACTTTACCGAAAGAACCAAGAATATGAATCCCTGCAGTCACGAAAGCTTTAAATAAAAATTCTTGTTTAGTTGTTCAGTAAACACGAGTTATGCTAACCTCCACGGCTTGCAAAGAAAGCACCCTTAGTTCCAAGAGGATGGTTTATAGACCAAGTAGGTTCAAGTTGAATGTTCACTTTATGAGAATCCGTGCAGAGCTTGCACAGCGGTACCGATTGTATACGAACACTGAATTAAACGTGTTTATATTTATAGCAATCGCATGGTGTCATGCTTGCATCTGGAAGTTTCTAAAAAAAATCTCACCTATAAGTATGCATTGTGAGAGTTATAATGTCAAGCTGACTTCTGGACAATTTGTTTACACTTGCAAGAATAATGAAATAATGCACGACCTTCGGGTGTACACTGCCCAAAATTACATTCCTTTATTATATACAGTACAGTATATACATATATATCAAAATAATAATAATGAGTGAAAATAGGATGGAGAGGACCTCCTTGATTTAAAAAAATAATGAGCCAATGATTGTATTGCATTCTATGTGTCCCCTGGTTGTAATTAGGCCATGAGCCACGGGGATTTGTCAGTACCACTGGGGTGGCAAATGCTGTCAGTATCCATGGGCAGAAAGCTTAGCGCGTATACTCTGTTTTATAAACACTCTTCCTGTTTATTTTCATATTCAGTTAATGTTTCCTGTCACGTTCCCCCACCCCCAAAAGTATATTCTCTATCAAATATACAATGGGGTACCTTAACTTTAACGACATTATTCTACCAACCGTGAGCTTGCTATCATTAAAATATTTGTTATCTATAGGTAAAATCGTTCAAGGAATACATAGTTTGCATTTGCCACCCTGGGTGGGACCGTTAAGAACAATTTTGGGCCATCGGCCCAAGGACCGAATGAGCACTTATTAACGTGTTTAAAGTTCAAGTTTGATCTACTGACACCTGTCTGAGAAAAACAAAAAAACGGATGAATGAAATACATCTAGCATAAAATTATTTCAGATGGCTTAGTCTGTTTAAACATAAGGTGGGAAATGCATTGACAAAATCAATTCGGTTTACACCACCAAAATGCAAATGGCCTCGAGGCCACAATAGAATTGGGTACTTACAAAGATAATCAAGCATGGCATTAGCAAGCAGCCGCCGGCCAGCCTCGCAAAATCAATAGCGTTTTCACCAGGCTCGTGGCCAAATACCTATTTCGCATTGAGGTAATTCTCACAGCAACGTCGAGGCAGGTTTTATGACGGTTGCCACCTGCCCTGGTTTTCACAGGATCGTCCTCTCGTTGAGGTAGCTGCTTTCCATTGATGTCTGTCAGTCTTCCTGGGACGATACGAGTCCCGTTTTATGTTAGTTGCATTAATAATAATAACAAGAAACTGCTCAAGACAATGCATTTACATGTAGTTATCCCCTGTCCCGGTATTGTCCTATTATTATTTTTCTTCCCATTATCTTCTGGGTTTGTTTTGTACCTCAGGTGGTATCCCTAGGTTTGACCTTGCCATGGTTCCTCAGCACGTGATGAGTTTTGTCTTGTTGCCACGGTGTGTACGTTCTTGTATAATCTTCATTTGACAGCCGCAGGCTCGCTTAACTCTGATGATTGATGGTCACATTGTCTGCTGGTGTTCGTTCCGAGTTCTCAATTACTTACGCAACAAAATATATAAATATATATTCAGTCCCTTGTCAATCAAATGGTAAATGAAGACCTCCCTGCAATGTGTTGGTCAGTGTGAGTCGGTGAAGGTGGAGAAGACCAGCGCATCTTCAGGTATCACTCGCCACTGATGTTAGCCATGACTGGAAATCGTACTCGGGTGTATGGTTTCATGGAGCAGCGTGCTAATCACTGCGACACCGCTCCTTCACCTCAATTAACGTTATTTAATCGGAATTCGTAAATTTATTTCATTGTTTTCATCTGTTCGGCAGTTGGGATATGTCGAGAGTTATCCATAATATCTGTTGTCAGACGGCAGTGCAGTAAAATCTATTGTACTCTATTAAAGTTTCCACGTCTATGCTTTCCGTCATCATCAACCCATGTTGACCAGCATGGTGAGGTATGGTGAACCAACCATCACGAGCATCCAGCAGTGGACTGACAAAGCGAGCCGTACGTGTTTTAAAAAGATCTAGATCGTGAACTCATTTCTTTAGAACGGCTTTTTCTGTTTGGTTTCTTGTCCTTCCCCCGCACCTCCAATAAGTACGGTGTGCGAAAGAAGTTCAACATACGCATACATACGTGTACACAAATCCCCGACCGGAGTTGTCAAGCATCCACTTTGCAATCCGAGTCTTGCTATTACACAGACGGCCAACAGGAGGCATCGATGCCTTATGGCCCGGTGGAAATTTTTCATGATGACAAAGGCCAATTTTGGGACGCAGACCTTGCGCCAAAAGTGGCACAACATTGAGCACACGCGGAAGAAGGGTCGAAGGTCACAAATAGATCGTGAGATATTGAAGCTTAAAGATAAACGCGAGAAATATTTGTTTTAATCATTAGTTTTCGTGGCTGTGAACATTGACGGTAAACACACAATCTGTGAAATAGACCGCTCTTAAAATAAAATTGTTGCAGCACACATGTTCAGCTGCAACAAATATCGAGCCGTGGGTCTCAATCTCAACTGAAATAAGAAGGTTGACCTTGCGAGGACACTTTCTTTGCTGGCATTAACCATCTTACGTGTGGTGTACACGAGACCTTCACCTATCGGCATCATTAGCCACGGTTAATCCACTGCTGAATGAAAAACCCGCCCATCTGTTGTCATAGATCACTATCCTGCGATGTATAACGCTCCATTTAGCACAGTGGTTCTCAACCTCCTTGTTTTGGCAGCCCCCCCCCCAATCAATGCTATTCGTTCCCGTGCCCCCGTCATCCCCCCTCCCCCCCAGGTAGGTCATCTACAGAGAGAGGTCACATGTCCACGCATAGTCAACGCGGTGTTCGTGGGGACATTTGTTTCACGTTGTGTATGAGTCATGTTTTGTCACTGCAACGCGGCACTGACGTTCCCCGTGCACGTAAACTTCTCCTGCACAGTATCCATGGCTCAGCCTGCACAGCGCTGAAAGGCGGAAAGGCTGACGGGGTGGGAACCGCTGATCTAGAATGGGCAACACTAGCGGATAAAAAAAAAATCTCCGATGCTGTGCCCTGTGTTGTTCGACACGATGTCCGACGTTTCGCTACCACGTGCTGGGAGCTTCTTGACAACCGCAAAAAACAATGCAGGTGCTGATGTTTGTTTGGCCTACAAAACTTGTCTTTGTCATCATACGGTGACGTTCACATGTTCGTCAGCCACTGATGCTTGAGACCTGAGGGGAGAGTAGAGAACCGTGTTTTAAGAATATGATTAACTTACATCGGGTTCCTGCTGCAAACTATGCAGAGAGGTACATTTACAAACAGTGCAACAGCTGACGTTATATACAGATGTACCATCGGTTTAAAAGGGAAACCTACATCGTGAAAAAATTAACTGAGTTTGAGGGACCCCTCCCCATGTGAATGTGTGTGTAATCATTCACAGTGGGTGAAGATCTCCTCATACCGTCCCCGTCATTGGGGTTGTTTGACCATACTTCACCACGCTGGTCAGTGCGGATTGAATAAGGAAAAGGTTGGGGAGGGGGGGGGAGCCCGAGACTAGTTGAGGTATCGCTCGCCACAGATTTTTTTTGTCACGGTCGGAAATCGAACTCGGGTCGCCGGGTTCATCGCGCGATCTGTGATCGCCATCGATGTGAAAAAAAAGATCAAGTGGATTTCCTGCAGCCCAGGCGGTGCTCATCAACTGTTTACAGAGCCAGTGGTGGAAATTCCACATTCCGATGATGGGGTGGGGGGAGGCGAGTGGCTAGAGCAGTGGTCCTTAACCTGGGGAAGCACGCACCCCCTGGGGGTGCAAGATGCCCTTTCTGAGAACCAAAACGGTGCAGGCTGCACTAAAGGTTAAGAATCACTGGTCTAGCGGGACAACTCCTTTTGACTTCCCTGCAAAGTGGGGAAGTCAAGGGATGACATGTGGTCGCCCTAACTCGGATTTGAACTTGCAACCTTCCGATTGCAATCCCCTTGCTCTACCGCTGAGCCACCTGGCTGGATAGTGATTAAAATAAATTACCTAGATATTGAAATTAGTTTCCCTTCCCGTCTCCATCTCGGTTGCTAGAGAAAAGGTTTCCGCGGTACTGTTTTGTAGGTTTATGTGATTGAACTTGTGTTTAATGAAATCATAAGAGACACGCTTTGCATAAATATATGTACCATATGTATGAATTGTCTGTGCCCTATAAAAAAAAATGTGTGTACCCTATGAAAAAAGCGTTTGTACTCTGTGTAAGAGGTGGCTCGTAAACATGGTAACCAAAAAAAGTGTAGAAAAAAACTGAAAAGTGCGCAAAGATTCATGGG